GGAGTCTGCCATATTGTTACGCAGTCCTTTTTCCCTAGGTCTTACCCCAGTCTCTCTCTTGCCCCGTAAGATCCGTCTGCCTTCTTTCTGGTTCACATATTTCACATCTGTGCCAACTTGAGGCGTTATTGGCCCTACCCTAAGTCTGGGTGGCTAATTCGAGGCTCAAGCCTCATGGTCAGGCCTTTGCCACATGGACCACGTCTTTTATAAAAACTACTGTCAGCCCACTAGCTCCCATCCGATGCGTAGTCTATCCTGTTTCTATCTCTACTACCAAGGCTATGACTTGTCATACCCTAGTCTCTTGTGTGCCAACCCACAAATGTTGTGGTTATCCTTGCTTTGACTCGGTTCAATGTTGAACCACAACGTTTGTGGGTTGGCACACAAGAGACTAAGGCATAAGAAGCTCTAGACTTGGCACTAAGGATAGAAGTACGATATATGCGGCGGTGACTAGAGCTGGATGGCTAACATTAGAAGCTTGATGATAGATGTGGTCCATGTAGCAGAGTCTTGACCTTGAGAATTCTTCGGGGTATTTAGCCTCAAGTTAGTCTTCCAGAGGTAGAGTGTGGGAAATAAATCCTCGAGTAGTACAAATAGGGCGGCAGTGGTCGAGTGAAATACTTGAAACAAGGAGATAGCAGACATACCCTACGGGCAAGAGACTCTGATAATACCTATGGAAGGAGGACTGAGTAACAATATGGCGGACTCTGATCAACATTCTAAGCACAAGGGTAAATGGGAAGTGAGGTGGTGAGAAAGCCAGAGTGGGGTGTGGACAGTTGTCATGAGATCCGTTTAAAGTGGCATACCATAACACATTTAAATAAGCAAGTAAAAAATGTGATGGTAGGGGCATGATACGAGGATATAGGATTGGTGATTAGCCTAGAGGGAAAGGAAATATACCACGATTATTTAGCAGAGAAATGGTTAAAGGATCATCTGACTTGTCTCTGACGGGTTGTAGTGTGGTACTAAGACTGGAAATGCTCACTGATGATGCCGGCGAAATGTCTGGGAATGCATCACGTCCACACTCTAAGGAAGTTATAATGCATACTACGAGCAAATTGCGAAAACAAGGTCAAATAACTTCTAATCCGTCAGTAGACTGACAAATTTAGTAATTAAAGGAACACCTTATACCTTCAGTAATAAATTTTTATGGGAACGAGGTTCAAACTATGGGCTAGTGCTTGTGTCCACTTCGCTTAATTCGAGGAGCCCTTCATGGTATCAAATTATTGGCTATATATATATGGACTACTTTGAGGTTAGTTACACAGAAAAAAGGTATAAAGTAACATTAAAATTTGATGGATAGAGAGAATGAGGCGATTCAATGAACTATGAAAACTAGATCAAACCACTTCTGTAAAAAGTGGGTAGTCCATTACTCATGGGTTATTGCTTGGTGAATTTAGATTAAAGGATGCTCCCAAACTCTTTCTGTCACATGGCAGACGAAAGCCTAGCGAGAATTTATCGGAGTTATCGGAGTGTTTACCATGTACTCCTTCACATAAGTCGGCAGTCGTAATGCCAAGGCCTAAGTCAATGCCATGCAGCAGACTGACAATTTCCTTCAACATGTTTGAGAACACTATTAATTTCAGAGAATAACAGAACAAATAGAGGGTTATAGGTCAAAAGAGTAATGAAAAAAACCGAGGTGATGAAAGGCTTCATGTGCAGATGATCAACTTAATCTAAAAAAATATTGCCTAAACATGCCAAGAATCAAACATAATTGAGTTTTATTTAGAAACTAAATTATAAAGGCTTAGAAATCAGAATAATTTTAAGCCGAAAGTAAAGAAGAATCAAGGAGAGAAATTTTAAACTAAATGAGTACTGGGCAAAAAACCCATGTCAACATATAAAGATGAGGAGTAAATTACGTCTAAACTAGCCAGTAAGATGCTAGTAAAATTAAGAATATTTAGGACCCGTAATTAAGTATTTAGATGTCCCACGAACTACTAAATATTGAGTACAAAATCAGTAAAAATCGATAACAACCGTTACCTCCGAGAAGCTTTCTTCTGTTGTAGCCGCGGCATCCAAGTTACTTGAGCTCGGCTCGTTTATCCCCCCTGTTGCACCAGAAATGCCGGTTCCGAGCACAGGAGATAAAGTATCCTCAAGGCTGATTTGATGTCGCCGTAGGTACATTGTCTGTGCTGCGACTATCTCTGGGTCAGGAAGAGGCATAGGTAGCAGACCACGACGCATCGAACCTGGCGGAATTCGAGCTCGTGCGGATCTAGGATTGGAGGTCGAAGAAAAAGCAGCAGCAGAAAGGGAAGGGCATGGAAGAAATGGAACATTGCTCGTCTGGCCAGGCTCAATTTGGTTAGGTGGTGGTTGATTTCGATTAGGATCTTGGAAATTAGAAGAGCTTAAGAGTGGTTGTGCTGAGGTCTTAGTCCGTCTAACTCTCCGTTTACGTGCTGGCAACCAAGGGCCATGGCGAACCTCAGAGTTTATTGGAGTAACCATCCCTCTTGCTTGGGGCTGTGGAGCAATAACACTGGAATCAGTGGCTGTGCATGCGTTCGAATGGATATCAACAAGACAAACGTCACTGCCATCGTCGGGATGTGAATTGGCCTGGAAGAGATAAAAAGAAGCCGTTGGTTGGTGATAGGCGGAAAATGTGAAAAAAAATACCCCAGAAATAGGGTGGGATAAAAATCTCTAATATTATGCGAATCGAGTAAATGGACCATTCTAAGAGGTACTCAGTGGACTTAAAGTACTAAGTCCTTAAGGGAGATACTCAGGTGACAGATGATTTGTCCACTAAGGATTACCACACCCATCACAACACATACAAACGCAATAAAAAGTCAAAAATATTGGATTAATTATGTTATACAAACCAGAGGCCAACGAACAAAGGTATAAGGAAAACATGCTACTAATTTCTGTGCTCAAGCCTTAATGAAAAAAAACAGACAGTTACACAATTCAATATTAACATAAGCCTAAAAAGAACCAGATGGAATTATGGTAATTCCATGCCATCATCAAATTTCTCCTTAATGTATCCCTTTTTTGCTTGTCTTGGTGTGAACTCTAGAGACTGAGTGGCGGAAAAGGAGAGCAAAGAACGCAATGAGTCCATATAGATTCAAGAGGTTTAAATAGTTAAGTGGTAAGGTCGAAGAGTTAGTTTATGTAAAGGGTGGGAACAGAGAGAAAAAGACAGTTTGCTACGTAAGAATGCTATGAAAGAGGCGTCATTATCAAATGTTGTTTAGAGAAGAAACAGGGACACATGGTGTTGATTCGAAGTTGGCCCAGTTAAAACTGCTGCGAAGTAAATAGTCATCTATACAATGAATTAACGACACGGTGGTTTGAGGAATTAATCTGGGTTTAGGCACGGGAAGGTGCGCCTCTGCTGAAGGCATAGATCGAATGAAATTTACACAATGCAAACGCGAGGCACGAAGAATCGGCACATGTAGGGATGGCAAGTTAAAAAAAGCAAAAGAAAAGCATTACACCGAAAAAGAGACGACTGAGTAATCATAAATCGTAAAGATTACGAGGCAGGCTAAATGCCAACAGGCTATCAGGAAACTGAGAATTAAAACTTTACGAATAAAAGTTGGGTTCCGATGAATCTCTTGTTTCACAATTGTTGAGCTTACTTCCATTTCGAGGGGAAGTGTTGGGTGAAAAGATTCGAAGGTCGGTTCCACCAGAAGACGACGGCGGATTCCTCTTGACCAGC